TACATTGACACGCGTACACAGTGTATGTAAAACAAGTTTGTTGCGTATACTTTACAGGATGTTGCAGAACTGGCCCCAACAAGTTTTTTTCTGGTAAAAATAGGGGGGGGGGGGGAGGGGATGGGGCGGCGAAAAGCTGTTTGTGATTTTAAAATGGCAATGTTTCATTCAGTAGTTTGACACTGCTGACTAAACGGTGGGCACTCAAAAAAACTTCAAACCCAACACAAGGCGATCCATCCTCAATTATTAATATAACATCCTCCCCTCTTATCTCCGCATACTCGAGTCTTGTTTAACATGCAACGCTCTAACAGGATCAACTCTCATCCTCGCATACTCGAGTCTTGTTTAATATACCACTCTCTAACAGGATCAACTCTCATCCTCGCATACTCGAGTCTTGTTTAAAATACCACGCTCTAACAGGATCAACTCTTATCCTCGCATCCTCGAGTCTTGTTTAACATGCAACGCTCAAACAGGGATAACTCTTATCCTCGAATACTCGAGTCTTGTTTAATATACAATGCTCTAACAGGATCAACTCTTATCCTCGCATACTCGAGTCTTGTTTAATATACAACGCTCTAACAGGATCAACTCTTATCCTCGCATACTCGAGTCTTGTTTAATATACAACGCTCTAACAGGATCAACTCTTATCCTCGCATACTCGAGTCTTGTTTAATATACAACGCTCTAACAGGATCAACTCTTATCCTCGCATCCTCGAGTCTTGTTTAATATACAACGCTCTAACAGGATCAACTCTTATCCTCTTATCCTCGCATACTCGAGTCCTGTTTAATATACAACGCTCTAACAGGATCAACTCTTATCCTCGCATACTCGAGTCTTGTTTAATATACAACGCTCTAACAGGATCAACTCTTATCCTCGCATACTAGAGTCTTGTTTAACATGCAACGCTCTCACACGCTCCAATCTTATCCTCGCATACTCGAGTCTTGTTTAACATGCAACGCTCTAACACGCTCCACTCTTATCCTCGCATACTCCAGTCTTGTTTAACATGCAACGCTCTAACACGCTCCACTCTTATCCTCCCATACTCCTTTTTTTTAAAACATGCAACACTCTAGTCTAACAAGCCCCACTCTTCTTCTTCTTTCGTTTGTCTGAAAAAATTTGTCTTTATCAGCAATTTTGCCTCGAATAAATTTCACTGTGTTTTCAGCTCGTTCAGTGGTCCATAGAGTTAACGTTCCACTGTTGTTCTTTCTGGACAAAATGTTTGCCCTAATGTGTCAAATTCGGTACAGTTATCAAAGTACATATTCTGCTGTCTGTGGGACCTTTTCACATGTGTGCATGGCTGATACGCCTATCTTGAGCTTTGTATACATGTGGTGCTCCACTTTTATCCTCGCATACTCCAGCCTTGTTTAACGTGCTTCGCTCTTAGTCTAACATGCTCCACTCTTAGTTTAGAATACTCTGCTCTTAGCTTAGTTTAACATACTCTCATGTACTACACTGGGAAAGTTTTCTTGTTTGTGGCACATGGTTTTAACTCGCTAGGGGTGAATACCCCTTCCCCCCACCACCACCCTTTACCCCCACAATACCCCCTCCCGGGATGATAGAGAAAACTGATTAGCAATGTCCAAAGCATTCTTTAGCAGCCCTATACTTGCCGTGATAACCTGCAGACTTTATTAGCGTCCCAACTTTAATAGCACGGGTAACCAAATACAGGGAATGGAATACGATACTTTAACAAAATCTAGAAAGAAGTAACAATAGCGGAACTTCAAATAATTCAGAGAAGACTTTAGAAGAATACGCATCAATCTGAATACACTACTGAAAGCAAGCGGTTTTAGTAGCCTGGCGTCACAAACACAAAGATAAAGGTCCCTTTTCCACGCCTTAAGGGGTATTGGGCATATAGGGCATGACCTATATTTTTATAGACCAATCGGCACGTGGTGGGTCATGGGATCAGCATTATACCAGCCGCCTTTACTTCACAGGGCTGTCCCTGGTACCCACTCAAGGTTGGGTCGACCTGTGAGTTAAGGTCATTTTTGAAGATGTCCGGCTCCGTGAGGACGCGAACCCACGACCTTCCGATTTGCAGGCGGGGTCTAGCCGCCAACGCCACGGCGACCTCCACAAACACAAAGATGAAAAGATTACTTCCTCAATTGCCCATGAGAATAATTTGGAGGATTCTATAGCTGTAGATGAAGGCAATGTCTCCAAAAGACATATGTCACATGTATCTGTCACATGAAGAGTCTAGCCGTTATGATTTTGCGCTTCCTGTAAGCTTCACACAAAAATGATTATACCTTCTGGAACGGCTGATGGTATCTAATGTGGAGAGTTCCTTGAATTTCATGATGCTTACCACCCGTCATGGTAGGGCTGTGTGGCAGGGTGAGGTAGATAGAGGATCTTCCCGTGTATACACAAGAATGAGGTGGAAGAGTCCCAGCTGGAAGACGACGATAATCACTAATTGTGGCAATAATATTGACGAAGAGTGAAATAGACAGTCTAAGATTTAACTACTGCATACTACTTGTTATGGCAAACTACTGAACGTAAAACATGCCTAGAAAAACCACAACAGCCAATAAATGCTGGGGTTGGTTCTGCAACGTCCTGTAAAGGATATGCAACTAACTTATACTACTTGTTAAGCGGCGTTCGTAGCTTAGGGTTTGCAAGTCCGACTTGTAATTCCAACGTACCGCGATCGAAACCCTGCTGCTGGCTAGGCATGAAAAGTGATCTGTACTTTACTTAAACTTTTATACTACTTGACAAGTAACAAAGGAAACGTATGGTGGGAGCCTCGTTATGGGAATAGTTAAAATTAAAGAAAAAAAAAAAAAAATGAATTTTTTTTTTTCTGTCTGTTTTATATTCTCTCCGGTGGATAAGGATGTACCCGTGGAGTATGAGTTCCTGCGAACAATAGAAGAGATCCACAGAAAGAAGCCACACTTCAGAATCAAACACGGACCTGTCATCAGATCAGGGAACACAGCGGAGGACCTCAACAAGCCTGGCATTGACGTGGACATTGTCAAAAAGCAGCCTGTTGTCATTTTAAAGGTTCATTGGTGTTCTGATGTGATTGTTTTGTATAAGATTTTCTGTCGAGTATATCCAAGTTTTTAACTTATGGTCTGCAAACAGGCGCATGCTACATCTCCCCCCGACACTTCGATGAGGTACAAGGTGGAAGAGAAAAAGAAAAAAGAAGAAGAAGACAGGCGCCAGTACTTGCAAATTCCCCGGGTGGCGGACAAAAGGATCACCAAAATCATCAGGTGGCTTTAGTGTAATTAAACAGAGAAATCAAACGGATGTTATAGCATTGCTTTACCTATCAGAATCTAGGCTGCAGACGAACGGGAAAATATAAGTTCTTGCCTGCAAGCTTCAATTGTTCCAACATAGTGAGAGAATAAAAAGAATCTAGAATGCAATCTGGAAATTAATTGTGCTATGCCCTTCAACGTCTGCTAATTTCAAAGTCTCTATTTTGCAACACCAAGATCAAAATATTTAAAACGTTTGTAAGACCAGTTGTTTTATAAAGAGATGAAGCCTTATTGCAAATTTTCAAAAACAAGTCTTGCGACGAATCTTTGGACCCTTCAAAGATTCACACAGCAGGGAAATGGAGAGTGAGAAGCAACAACGACATTTATAATCTATTTAAATCACCACCGATCACTGGCATCATGTGATCTAAGAGACTGAAATGACTGGGGCATCGTGAGAGAATGTCAGTTGACGGAGAAGTAAAAACTGTATACCCAAGGGAGCTCAGTGGTCGCAGAACATGAGGCAGACCAAGAAGACAATAGAGAGATAATATACAGACAGACCTACAAACACTTGGTGTCACCAACTTTAAAGAGAAGGCCAACCAGAGAGATGAGTGGAGGCGGGTGATATCTGCAACAATGAATCTCAAGGGTTCGAAATGCGAGAAAAAGAAAAGAAAGAATGTTGTGTCAAATAACTGAAATGTTATCTACAGCTGTATTTGTTTCCTCTGAGCTGTTAGCCTGTCTGGAAATTATTTGTCATATTTTCTCGCTTTGCTAAGTCTAAACAACAGTTCAAGAATACTTGTGTGGCTTATTGTTTCGTTTGTTTATGTTGGGCATGAAGACGGTAATTTGTCTGCAAGAAATTATTGTCCATGCTTATTTTGCAAAATATGATTGTAACTGTGTGTAGACGATTTTAGTGATTGTTTCTTTTCTAAGGTGCAACCGTAAACTAATCAGAAAAATTATACTGGGGAGGGGAGGGAGAATGTTGGAGACGGGTGAGGGGCTAAAGTGTGCCAACACAATTGAAATATAAGTTGTAGGGTGCCTCAGATCACTTACACATTGTCTTTAAAAAAGGGGGAGGGAGATAAGAAGCACAGATGTTTTTAAGTGGTTAATAATAATAATGTGCTTAATGACAAATAAATATAACAATATATATAGAATAATATTATATGTATTAAAAACGTAAAAGGAACACTATATGATTTGAGAGGGAGCGTACCCTTGTGAATTTAGCCCCCCCCCCCCATCCCCCACCTACCATTGTGGAAGGAGGGGGGGGGGAGAAGGAGTCCTCAAGATTCATAGTCTGCCAGGTTCCAGCGCTCCTGGCATGAGATTCATTACAGCAATCTTCATCGTTAGCAAATACTATATGTACTACTTACGTTAAGAATTTTTACGTGAACTTGTAGTAATTCCCCCTGGTTTCTGAGTAGAAAGATCGGAGGAGCATGTGTATTGCTGCGCACGTAAAAAAAAAAAAAATCCCTTCTTCTTCTTCTTCTTCTTCTTCACTTCCTCTTTTACCGCTGTGGGTGTCGAGGGAGATATAAGGTTCTGTTTCTGGCTCTTCTGGCCGCCTCGACCATAGGCACATCGTGCTGTTGTAGAGCTTCTCTGATGTTATCCTTCCATCTTGTTCTTGGTCTACCTCTTGCTCTACGACCTTCTTCTCTTTCCATGTATGCTTTGTATGGTATGGTGTCACAAGGCATTCTCTCTAAGTGGGCAAACCATTTCACTTGCTGTCTTCGTATGTAATCCAGAATTGGTTCTGTGCCGACTTTTTCTCTTATGATCTCATTTCTGATCTTATCTCTTATGGTCACTCCTACAGCCCTTCTCAGACATCTCATTTCCATGGTTACTAATTTTCTTTTATGGTTTGTTGTGAGTGACCATGTCTGGCACTGGTAGCACAGAGTTGGAATAAATATGCTTTGAATAAGATGTCTCTTTGTGCTGATTGGGATTGTCTTATGCTGTAAGAGGGGGGGGGGGGCGCTAGCTGTCCCAATACTTGGTTTGCTTTACTGCATCTGATGTTAATTTCTTTATCCAATTTCCCATCTTCGGTAAATGTAGTTCCCAGATATTTAAAATCAGATGCCTAGTTAGTTAGTTAGTTAGTTAGTTAGTTAGTTAGTTAGTTAGTTAGTTAGTTAGTTAGTTAGTTAGTTAGTTAGTTAGTTAGTTAGTTAGTTAGTTAGTTAGTTAGTTAGTTAGTTAGTTAGTTAGTTAGTTAGTTGGGTTATCCTCATTGCACTCCGGACATGTCCATAGGTGCTCAGATCCTCCCCTCAGTATGAACCCCAACGTTCGATGGCTAATAGTACCAGTTCTATGTTGATTAACAAGTCTTCTGGCGTAGCTGGTGTGCGTCTCGTTTTTTGCTGTACCGATCTTAATTCCCAAGTCTGCCATTCTGGCGAGTGATGTGGATTCACTGCCACCAAAGTCGTCTATCCTTCCCATTTCTCTGAGGGCATTGATAATATCAGCATGATCCATAGGCTGACCGTCGGTAGTGATAGCGGATCCAGCCAACCTGTCAGCTCTTTCATTTCCATCGACGCCTGCGTGTCCCGGAACAAAAATAAAGGTGACTCCACGGACAGTGGACTTCTGTAATGATTCAAGCCATTGCCTTTGCACTGAACCTGCCTGAACCCCCCGGATCATACTCATTGAATCACTGAGTATACACACGCGGGTGTATTTTTGTGTTTCAAGCCAGGCAAGCGCTTGTGTCACTGCCATCACCTCCAGATGCCTGTTTAATGCCTTTGTTCTCTATTGCTATGTTTAGATCTGTCTTCTTTTTTCCTATTGACATTACTTCTGTCTTTTCAGTGTTGATTCTCATATTATTTGTTTTACATTCTTCATTCATGGATGTTAGATGTTGTTGCAATTTCATGGCTGTATATGCTATCAAGGCCTGGTCATCTGCAAAGAGTAATTCGTTGATCTTACTAACATTTTCATTCATGGGCTTGGCATTCTTGCATATACTGTCGTTGTAGGTGATAAACAGCAGTGGTGATAAGACACACCCCTGTCTTACTCCAGATGTTACTGTGAATGGATGAGATGTTCACTGATTTATTCTAACTACACTTCTACAATCCCTGTATAGACTTTTGCACACTTCGATGAGATGTTCGCTTACTCTATATCTTGCCATTTCTTTCCATAATAATTGTCTGTTGACTCTGTCAAATGCCTTCTCCTGGTCTACGAAGGCCACAAATAAGTTCTTATTGTAAAAAAATCCCTTGACTGTTGGAAATTGAAAAGAGTAGCCTAACGGCGCTGCCCAGCCAAAATTTGGAGAGAAAAATCTACCCAAGTATTTCAGGATCCTACGGAGTTCGTGCACTGCGCTGAAATTTTACGGACTCAGGCTTGAGTTAGAAGTAGAACGGAGAACTTATGGGTTACTACCCTTGTGCCATGATGTTGATACGTTGTTTAAACCTGAAACCTTCTCTGCCAACTGCAGGAGCACATCGTGGTGAACGATATGCGCTTGATAGACATTCTCCGGAGGTACGACAAGAACAACTCCCTCAGTGTCACCATCGATGACTTCCTCTCTGCTGTAGAAGTAAGTCCATAGCTTTATGTTACCTCGTTTTCTGTGTGGGTTCCCGGAACCCTATTTGAGGGGGTTGGAGGGGTGGAACAGAGTCACCGCCTCTATCAGGCATGTTGTAAAATTGGCAAATTAGAGGTCTGCTTGAGCGTGTCGGTTTCGGGACACCAGTGTGTGTGGGGTATATAGCTACTGTTCCGAAAACAAGCATGTTGTAAACATCGACTTATTAAGGGATTTTCCTTTGAAGTCGGAGTACACACGATCAAGAGGCGATGAAACGCAAAACTCAATTTCTAGAACCTGTTACGAACATCCAGAACTTTCAGCCGTAGCTTACAGATGATGAAATCGAAGCAGAAGAGGTTTGTTGGAATCGCCTGATGCACTGAAAGTCGCTGAAAACGCACACCATCTGTAAACCACAACACAACATGCCGAGCATGACTGTCGAACGCAGAAGAAGGAGTTACCTCAGCTTTCTAAACATATCCTATCCCAGTCCCCACCCCACGCCCCTTTTTCACCCCAACTCCAGGCACCAGACACTACTACCTAAAGGTAAAGACCACATTTCGGGTGTGTCTAGATAACTAATTCAACCCAAAGAAATCTTTATAAATATAGACACTAGGACTATACAAGGGGGTATCTTGAGATACCTCACTGCACTAAGCGGATTTGGGTAGTATTCATGAGTTGGGAATGATTGTTCAACTAACAGTAGGGAATTGTAAAGTACAGATACAGGAAAGGAACAGATGGCATTACAAAAATGATCACACGAACATACAGGTTCGGTTGCCTATGATCCATGTTATTTTTTTGTGTACTGAATACTTTACAGGAGCTGGCTGTTACCTGTGACAAGATAAGACTCAAAGAATCGCTGCAGAAATGTCGGATGAATAAATCAGGAACAATTTACTTCGGGTATAAAACTTTAACTTGTCTGGTGAAAGATTTAGTATGCACGTCCTTACTCGCAGAGGATCCTGTCACTTAGCAATATTTATAAATGTCAGTCCACCTGTGTGTCTGTGTGTTGTGTCTGCCAGTCACTTTGCCTAAGATGTGAAGTGTTATCAATGCTATTAAATTCTTATAGTAATCTTCAGTATATTCCATATTTGTATTTTAACATACACTTTACTGTGGTACATTCTTTCTTTCTTTCTTCTTTCTTTCTTTCTTTCCTTCTTTCTTTCTTTCTTTCTTTCTTTCTTTCTAGCATAAAGCCTGTTCGTATCGGTGTCGAGTATTGACATTAAAATAATTAGTTAGTTTAGTTAGTTAGTTTAGTTAGTTTAGTTTAGGTAGTTTAGGTAGTTTAGGTAGTTTAGGTAGTTAGTTTATTTAGTTTAGTTAGTTTATTTAGTTTATTTAGTTTAGTTAGTTTATTTAGTTTATTTAGTTTATTTAGTCAGTTAGTTAGTTAGTTAGTTAGATTGTTAGTTAGTTAGTTAGTTAGTTAGTTAGTTTAGTTAGTTTAGTTAGTTAGTTTAGTTAGTTTAGTTAGTTAGTTAGTTTAGTTAGTTAGTTTAGTTAGTTTAGTTAGTTAGTTTAGTTAGTTTAGTTAGTTAGTTAGTTAGTTAGTTAGTTTAGTTAGTTAGTTAGTTTAGTTAGTTAGTTAGTTTAGTTAGTTAGTTAGTTTAGTTTAGTTAGTTAGTTTAGTTTAGTTAGTTAGTTAGTTAGTTTAGTTAGTTTAGTTAGTTTAGTTAGTTTAGTTAGTTTAGTTAGTTTAGTTAGTTAGTTAGTTAGTTAGTTAGTTGGTTACGCATTCTGCACATGACATTCCAGAACCATCCCTAGCATTTTTTTCCTGTTGCAGTTTTTGTAGGTAAATTTACGTCCAGTAGTTTGCCATCGCTTCCTGGACGGTCGGCTTCTCGATACCACTGTCGAAACCAACACAAGTCGCAAGACCCGCTGTTGGGATTGAACCCGGCACCCCGGCATTACGAAGCGCGTTCGCAACGCCTAAACCACAGACACCGACATTAAAAGAGTATGCCAGTAAAAATACCTAATGGTGAGAAAAATATGGACACGAATAGCTGTGTTACGAAACGAAATAAATAAGAAAGCTATATTACGAAACGAAATAAGTAACAAAGTGAAATGTAAACAGCATATTGTTTCAGCCACATGGAAAGGCATGGCTCATAGAAGTCTTGAGGGTGCGTTGACAATAGTGGGAACACGCTATGAATAACAATGCACGCCAAAGACAACTGGCAAGGACCAAGGGCTTCTCAAGCGGCTAGGGATAGGGCATGCGTAATATAAAGGTCCTGTCATGATGACAGTAATAATAACATACATAATTACAAGTAATTTTATTAGTAGTCGTCATAGTGTTAGTAGTAGTCTTGGTAGTAGCAGCAGCAGTAGTAAAGTGGTAGTAGAAGTAGTAGTAATGGTAGTAGTAGTAGTAGTAGTAGTAGTAGTAGTAGTAGTAGTAGTAGTAGTAGTAGTAGTAGTAGTAGTGTTGTAGTAGCAGTGCAGTAGTAGTAGTAGTAGCAACAGCAGCAGCAGTAATGGTAATCGTAGTAGTAGTAGTAGTAGTAGTAGTAGTAGTAGTAGTAGTAGTAGTAGTAGTAGTATTAGTAGTAGTAGTAGTTGTAGTAGTAGAGGTGTAGTAGTAGTAGTAGTAGCAACAGCAGCAGCAGTAATGGTAATCGTAGTAGTAGTAGTAGTAGTAGTAGTAGTAGTAGTAGTAGTAGTAGTAGTAGTAGTAGTAGTAGTAGTAGTAGTAGTAGTAGTAGTAGTAGTAGTAGTAGTTATAGTAGTAGTAGTAGTAGTAGTAGTAGTAGTAGTAGTAGTCGTAGTAGTAGTAGTAGTAGTAGTAGTAGTAGTAGTAGTAGTAGTGATAGTAGTAGTGTAGTAGTAGTAGTCGTAGTAGTAGTAGTAGTAGTAGTAGTAGTAGTAGTAGTAGTAGTAGTAGTAGTAGTAGTAGTAGTAGTAGTAGTAGCAGTAGTATTAGTAAAGTGGTGGTGGTGGTATCAGTAGTCGTAGTAATGATAATTAGTACTACTGTTGTTCAGTGAATTTATCAGTAATGCTGAAACAAACGTACACACTTTTTCTTGACTTCAGAAACTTCATTCCTGACAGCAATCAAGCCGAGAAACCCGGTGATCTGTCGTGACAAGATTGTGTATGCGAGGATACAGGAGACATTTAATTCAAACACGTCCTATTGGACATTTAAATGTGATAAACAATAAAATATATATATATAAATAAAGAGAGAGAGAGAGAGAGAGAGAGAGAGAGAGAGAGAGAGAGATAAAGAGAGAGCAAGAAAGAGAGAGATAAAGAAAGAGAGACATACAAACACACACACAGAGATAGAGACATAAAGAGGTAGACAGACACGAAAAAAAGCGAAAGAAAGACACGCATACACACAGTGGTAACGGAGAGACAGACAGCCAGAAATAGATCACAGACACACTGGCAACATAGAGATACATAGACAACTAGATAACGAGAGAGAGAGAGAGAGAGAGAGAGAGAGAGAGAGAGAGAGAGACTGACAGAGCGAGATAAATAGACAGCCAGATACTAATAAAGAGAGCGATACACACACAGTGGTAACAGAGAGATCAAAAGACAGCCAAATATATATAAACACACACAGACACATACGCGCGTGAGCGCGCACGTGCACTGGCATAAACAGATAATGAGAGAGAGAGAGAGAGAGAGAGAGAGAGAGAGATAGAAGGAGACACGTGTGACAGAGAGACAAACAACCAGAAATAAAAGAGAGCGAGAGAGCGTGCGAGAAAAGGGGAGAGATAGAGAAAGAGAGAGAAAACAGCGCTCAATAAATCGACAGCTCTTATGCATGCTAATATACGTATGCCAATAAAAATTAATTATCAAGGCGAAGTCTTTGTGTGTTTGTACAGTTCAAACGTAATCGATGACTGCATCGATTTACTCCTCAAGTCCAGGAAGTTGCCTTATAAAAATGTCACAGATTTCTTGGAGTTTATCTGTAGTGTTTATTCTCCCACCTTGCAGGGCAATAAACATATAATTTCCTTTTGGTGGTGTACGGCTCCATTGTGATGGTGGGGACAAAAAAAGGAACAGACCCATTGACCCCTATCAAAAAGTGGTAAAAACCTGGGTGACTGTAATCAAACCAATAACGAGAAAGTAATCCAAAGAACTGTGACTGGAAGAGCTTATCGAAAGGGGGAAGAGAAACAACATACGCGCATGGAGACAAATCAACCTTACGGCTGGTGCCTTTCTTAACATGAACTACACAACAATAACCTTAACATGTACGATAACCAACACACCCATGAGTCAGGGCCCAGTCTATACGAGAATACAAACAAGTTATAGACATTAGACTGATTGCAGTCACGCTGATAACGAGAAATTAAGCCAGTGATGTTACAGCTGTGTAGTTCATGTAGAAAAAGGCTCCGGCCAAAACTTAAATTTGTCTTCTTGTGTGCGTTGTTCCCCTTTAGTTAAGCTTTTTAGTTACAGTTCATTGGATTATTTACCTCCGAGCAGAATGTCATAAAGTCGACTAATTAATGGTTTCCCTCGAAGCCGGAGTGCACTTACCTGAGAGGCGAGGAACCAACAGTCTGCATATAAATAAACTAGATCTGTGAAACGGATGTTCTAGCACAACTCAAGTTCTGGAACGAGACCAAAGTCAAGAGGTGGATAAGAAACCAGAACTTTCCGCCAGAGTTCACAGTCGGTGGAAGCTAATCAGATAAGATCTTTTGCTGAAACGCTTCTGAATAACACTGCCTGGTATATATAGCTAGAGGACAAAACTAGCATCATAATGATCATCATGATCATTATCGTCAGCATCTTCTTCTTCTTCTTCTTCTTCTTCTTCTTCTTCTTCTTCTTCTTCTTCTTCTTCTTCTTCTTCGTCTTCTTCGTCTTCTTCGTCTTCTTCTTCTTCTTCTTCTTCTTCTTCTTCTTCTTCTTCTTCTTCTTCTTCTTCTTCTTCTTCTTCTTCTTCTTCTTCTTCTTCTTCTTCTTCTTCTTCTTCTTCTTCTTCTTCTTCTTCTTCTTCTTCTTCTTCTTCTTCTTCTTCTTCTTCTTCTTCTTCTTCTTCTTCTTCTACTTTATCTTCTTCTTCTCTAGCCCACCTAAACTTTTCCGCGGTCAACGAGTTGAAAAACACTGAGCTACAGAACTCTGCCAGAGACATTGTGCTGCTCACTAAACTGGTTCAGCAAGTTGTTCCCACACTTTACCATGCTCGGTGTTACATTACAGCGGTTTGTTGAAGTGGCTTCACCTTACGCTAATCTGGCAATGTTTACACTCTAGCTTTATTCTTCTAGTTCTCTTATTGTGGGAGTCCCCGTGGCGGAGCGGCTAGACGCTTGCTGTGGATCGGAAGGCCGTGGGTTCGCTCCGTGGCGGAGCAGGACTTTTGTTCAAAAGTGACCTCGGCTGCCAGCCCCCCCCCCTCCCCATCTACACCTCTCTAAAAAAAAGTGATAAAACCGACTGTAGTTACACTACTGTCGGCTCTGTGGCTAAGTCGATGCGAGCGCTTCGCTTCGTAATGCCGTGATGCCAGGTTCGATCCCAGCTGCGGGCAATGCGCTTTGCGTTAGTTTCGACAGTGGTATCAAGAACACGCGACATAGACGCTGATGTAATTGGAGGCAAGACAACGTGACACCCCTCCAACGTAGACGAGTCTTAGAAAGTATGAATGAAAGGTAGCCAGTGTGTAGATGGCTTGGGAAACGTGAACTGGACCCTAATTTGTGATTCCCACCAGAACGAAACGATCATTGATACGCTTGCAATAACTTTCCCACAGTCTAAGCGCAAAAGAAAACTCTCTTCACTAATAATGTTGCAATCAAAAGAATTGTTAGCTGACGCGAAGACCCTCGTCATTTAAACCTTTCATGTTG